ACATGAGTGAGGAGGACCAATGGCAAGCTAGGCATACTGCTTATACAAGGAAGACAAGGAGCCCCAGGATTTGTTCCACAGGCACTGAAAAATTTCAAGGCAGCAGACTTTGGAAGCAGGTCCAGAAATGCAAACAAACATCAAAGCCAAGATCTGAATGGATGGAATTGTCTCCAAAGGTTTGCCAACTTTCGTTAATGTTTAAGAAAAAAAAATACCCTTACTGGAGATTTTGTATCCACAATGACAAATTGCTGTCTCCATTCTTCTTTCATGTACCTTAGGGAAACATGCATTTTATATATATAGTGACTCCCAAAAGACTGACTCTCTTTTAGTGTTTATACTCAGATGGTCCCTTTGTTTCTCTAAGGTATATGGAATATGTTTTTTATATAAGCTTTTCCCTCTTCTTTCTCTTCCATCATGCAGGACATTCTTCCTCAACCCAAACTAAAAGCCAGTGAAAGCAAAATACCATCTTTTGAGGTTCAGAAAGTGATCTTTAATTGAAACTTACTGAGCAGCATACTAAACTGTAGTTTCTAATCAGAAAACGACTCCTGGAAAATTGAATCACAGCTTCTCTTGTTATTCCACACACATTTTGCTTATAGCTCACAAGAACCACATTCTTGGCTTGATCACAGAAAACCAAGCTATATGTTGTCTTTTTCACATGTTACCATGATCAACAGTGGAGAATAGGAATGAGAACTTAGCCAGCAAGTCTTTTAAGGGAAGGAGAATAAGAACATAATTCACTTTTGCAGAAAAACTGAGTCTGCTACTCTGGCTGTAGCAAAAGTTTGCTTTTGCTGGTACAAATGGAAAAGACACATGAGAAGAAACCCACCTTTTTTCCCCACAACCCCACTATCTGCCTTGTTTCAATCCATAACCAAGCGTGAACAGCATCACCTTATCCTGTATATGCCTTGCACCTAAAAGGTTGCTTCTGGCTTGAAACACTTTATTGGATTGTTCCTTATCTCCATTGTAGAGCAATGCATTGTAGGATGAGGAAGAGATTATGCCTGCCTTTTACATTTGGACAGCCTCCATTAGAAACAAATTAGAAGCACTGTAACTGTATTCACCAAGTAACGACTTTCCTCCACTATGCTTCAACTCAAAATTTTAAAGCTATCAGAAGAGTACAAACCATAAACAGGTCATCCTCACCTATTCAAGAGTACTCATATAATCTGTATGTCACATCAAAACAGCTTAACTTTCCAAAAGGGAATATTAAAGAAATGAATGCTTGATGAACAGTAAGAAGAAAGATCACTAGCTGCAGCAACTAGTCCATGAATAGTTCAGGACAATTAATATACTGAGAAATTTGTTTGTAGGCAATTCAGCAGTGAAAGATGAAATAACTGAATAAAATACTAATTGCCAGTAATTCACCCAGCTATGACAAAATGCAGCACATATTTACTTGTTCCCTAATAGCTTGGAAGAAGCTTTTCGCGCTGCTGCTATGAACAGGGAAGGGAGGCTCCTTCAGTTTAAGGAGCCCCACAGAAACACTAGATTTTTATTCCTTAATTTGATTCCATGGCCCACCTTTTTTTTTTTAAAGGCTAGAAAAGAATAGGAACTTTTAAACTGTCAAAAGTGCTGCTGAATTTTTCCCCATACCTTGAAAAACGCAAATTATTCAGTAACAAATAAAGCAAGGACTCTCAACATATAAGAGTTTCAACCTTGAAGGTCTGTGTAGAACCACATGAGGCAGTTTCTGTGCAATTAGAAGATGCTGGAAGCACAATAGTGGGAAAATGGAGGGGAAACAGGTCAAACAAGGTCAGATCCCTTTTTTTCATATACAAGTGTCCTCTCAGAGCGTCTACAGGTTTTGAAGGAGAACAGCTGCAATCAGGAAGATGGGCAACTCTTACAGTCAGAAGAGAATCATGTGTGCCCCTGTACTCGGCACTGGTGAGGCCACACCTCGAATACTGTGTTCAGTTTTGGGCCCCTCACTACAAGAAGGACATTGAGGTGCTGGAGCGTGTCCAGACAAGGGCAACGAAGCTGGTGAGGGGTCTGGAGAACAAGTCTTATGAGGAGCGGCTGAGGGAACTGGGGTTGTTTAGCTTGGAGAAGAGGAGGCTGAGGGGAGACCTCATCGCTCTCTACAACTACCTGAAAGGAGGTTGTAGCGAGGTGGGTGTCGGTCTCTTCTCCCAAG